TAAATTATTTTCTACCCTACAACCCATTTCCCTACAGGCAAAACGTTGCAACCCTCTTGCTGCCCTATCGCTGTTTCCATGGAAAGTGTTCAGGCGAACTATATTCCTTCATGTTTAAGACCCGCCAAGTCAAGCACACTGTAGCGAACCACACACATTCCCTTTCTGTTTCATTAGGGATATGTAAGTTTCAATCGAGCAGCTTCTTTCGACGAACCACGGCTTTGCGCAACCGATTCCCCAGAGGATGCTTTCCTGATCACGACAATCTTAACCTGCTCATGTCTAGGGTTAACAGTTATCTTCCCACATATCATAAACTGAGTCTCTTACGGTTTACTCTGTAATCCTCTACTTTGAGTGGCTCTTGAGCCTTGTATAGGGTGAACATTATGGTAAAAAGAAATTTTTTCTTTTTTTTACGTTTAATCTTTTTCCTCATTCGTGTTCATCGTACAGTATGATAAGGTTTAATAATATTGAATAATGATTTCTTTTAATTGATTATTCAGGGTCAAATCTAAGAGCCGAGTTTGAATTCCAGTAGAGTTCAACACATACACTTACGTCCTAATAGCCCTGGGAAAGTTATGAATCAATCTCTTTTCCCCCAACTATGGGTAAATAGCAGGGTAGATTTGGTTTTTGGGTGACAACCGGTCTAGGAGAAGGAAAACTCAGAATACTCTGGCTAAGCACATACTATGTAGCTATGTATCCCAACTTCAGCCGATTTAGGGTCAGCTTATTAATACCATTAAAATTCAGTCAACGAAATTGTATCATAATTTTAAAACTCAGTGCCCAACGACAAAACGCAGTGATGTCCTATAGTAAAACATTTTTAATCTTTTTGTAGCTAAAAATTACTAAATATTTACATATAATTTTAATATTTCTTTTTATAATAATCTAGTTATATAATGTTAATTTAAGTTTTGATGCGTTTAAAAACAAATGCCTTTGTTTTAATATTTCTATATTCTAAAAGTAGATTATTTTTATATTATAAAGTATAATAAATTATACTAGATAAAAAGAATTTTCCTTTTAATAATATTGATATTTACTGAGCCTAGCTAAGTTTGGCACATAGCCATAAAAGAAGAGCACTTAGTGATGATTGAACTCACTACATTGATAAGGCTATCTGGCTAATCATCGAGTTCGTTTGCTTAAACTTTTCATTTATAAAATAAAATAATACCTGAATTATTCTCCTATCACCCGAACCGTCACGTATCATGAATATATTTAAAAAATCGTCATATCAGGATTTATGGATTTTACAAGTACAACACAGCCTTTTCATTTGACAGACTTGTTTATCAGTAACAAAAAATTCTCACGACCTTTAAGCACTATCCTCTACCACCGACCTGTACTAGCAAATGATATACGTTCAGATATGTTTTTTTTTAAATTTTTTATAAATACACGAATGACGCTAGATGAAAAGGAGATATAGCTGTTCAGAGGTTAAGCAGAAATCTACTGTCACATTCTTATCATTTTTATACTAATGTTCACTAACTACAAGGCTCAAGAGTCACTCAAAGCAGTGGGTTACTGAATAACCCGTGTGGTATTAACGCAAGTAGAAAGTGAGGATTATGAGCTTGATTTTTGATTGTGTTTTACTTTCTGCTCTTCCCTACTACTGTGACAATGAACTGCTTCTATTTATAAATATTGCAAGTAGCTACATTAGATTAGGATTTGAGTAGTTTTTCCATTTTATGTATGACTATATATAAAATGCTGGGGAACCTCGACGTGGTGTAATGGTTAGAAAGCTTGTCTTACTAGATCAATTACAACTGAGTAGTGAGTTCGATCCTCGCTGGGTGCCCCGTACTTTCGGCCTTGTGCCACATCTAAGCCGGGCTTAGAAAATCGCTATATATAAAATTCTGTGACTTCCGTTTGTCTGTCATGCCCTCTAAAATAGCCATACATTGACCGATCGAAACCTATTTTTGGGGAGAAGTGCAAACAAGTAAGTGGGTACAAAGTACAGTTGGTTTTATTGGTTTTACTAGTGTGTGTAGCTTAGTACAATAAATTTTCATTTAATTTTTTCGAAAAATTAAAGGTTTCTTTATTTAACATCCAAAATATTTCCACTATTTTAAAAACAATATAATGATTAAAATAACAAATACTTATTTAATAAAAATACAATATTGTTTTTGCATATCTTTTGTTAAAGATTTTATATCTATTTAATTCTGGTATAATATAATGTACATTTGTAGCACTGTAAATATAAACAGAATAGGGAGAGAAGAGTTTATAAATATCGACAAAAAATGTTAGCAATAACTTCAGCAAAGATTCTAGTATTTATTAAACCTATTCTTTTTCGTTTCCTCTACATCGCCTTCTGTTCCTTCGATACTCTCTCTAACTACGGCCTTCCTAATTCTCGTCTATTTTGAACAGAAACAACATTATAACAAATTGATTTGTTTTTTACGGTTTATCAACTATTTGTAGGTTATTTAAAGACAGGAAATATTTTTTAGATTGTAACAATTTTTTTTGAGATTTACCGGTACATGTCTTACTAATTAACCCATAGCTGAGAGTTTGATTCATACCTTTTCCAAGAGTATTGGTACGTATGAGAATATAACGAACCCAACGGGAATTGGAACTCCGATTAACAATTCCGAGTCTTTATTTATTACACCAGCTGTACATCCAAGCTTAAAGTACCTGATATCCTCAAGCGGTCACCCATCTAGGTACTGAACAGGCTTAACTTCGGTGTTCATACGAGGACCGGTGTTTCAACGTGATAAGGCCGTAAGGCAAAGATTATGACATGGAGGGTAGATAACGATTAATCCTAGACTTAAGTTTAAGATTTTAGTATTCAGGGAAGCATATATGCGGGAGACTGTTCCAGTTAAGTTACAGCATTCATTTCTCGTTGGCATTTACTTGAGGGTTTTTAAAAAGATCGAACACGCATACACAGATAGATGAGTATATATGTAGATAAATATATAGGATATTGTTCGATTCTTACCCATTTTGTCATCAGCAAACGACTGAAGAATGACCAGACCCAGGATGAGGAAGACAATGCGGGACATGGCGAATGTGGTAGTCTCGTACGTCAGAATGAAAATTAAAAGTAATGTCGTTCTTATATACTGTATTCCGAAATATTTACCCCCTCCTCTCTTCTAAGACCACTGTTACGTCCTTCAATTCTTTTTTGGTTTTCCGTCTCAATAGAAGGAGAAAAAAAAGACAGCTGGGTGGATTCTTTTGTCAGGATTGTTTTTAGATATGTTTTATTTACATCATTTTTGTGTTTACCGTATTTTTCCCGGGCTTTCAATAATAGTTTCTTTCATTGCCTCAGCGTCGACCATTATCAATACTATTACTACTACAATTCGAAAAGTCAATTACTGTCTTCGCTTTTTAAACTATAGCCGTCCCTACTACTACAACTACAATTATTCTTTTTTAATTTTTCAATAATATATTATATATATACATATATATATATATATATATATATATATATATATATATATATGGATACACATTCAGTTTTATAGGTGTGCATTATTTTATTATTAAAAACTATTGTTTTTAATAACTTCGAAATATCTATATTTCTCTTGACAAACTTTTGTTATAAATGATTGTCTTTTATAAAGTAAATGCTGAAGAAAATACAATCCAATTCTTACAATGAGATGGTCAATCAAAATGGTTCAATTTATTCAATCAAACTGGAAGTTTAAAATTTTAACCTTGAAAGATTTATGTTCTCTTCATTTTAAAATTCCAGAAATATTACCAAAGTTCTAATTAGAGCAATCAGACCATTTCTTTATTAAATACTCTAACTTGCAAGCGTTTTTTCTTCTTTATCAAATACCTCAGGAATTCTTTGAAGATATTAATGAATAAGTGATACAAGTTGTCGATTTGAAAAAATACTGAAATTCAAGAATCAGTTTTAATAACGAAATGCCAAATAAAGAACTATATCACTGCTTTCAACTTAATATTATTCAGTCACTTAAGTGCCACACGTGATTGGGCAATCATGTCTCTTTCGATTCATGACTGACTCGGCAGAAAATTTTCCCCGAAGTAGCTGGCCGTTTCTTTTTACGATAGACTGGTTGCCAACCAAGGTTATAGGGTTCAATCAACCTGCTATTCAACGAGCTGGGCGAGAAGAGATAGATTCATACCTTTCCAAAGAGTATTTACACGTAAGTGAGTATAACGAATCCGAGTGGGATTCGAACTCGGCTATATCAAATATTCCTAAAATTCCGAGCCGTTATCCATTACACCACACTACTGAACGATATTGTCTAATATATAAGGAATCATATTTGAGAAAAAATAAGGAGAAACAACGCTCTCCTCTAGCCTGAAACTTTTATCAGTGACCATCTCCAAGACAAATCGGGAAAGCGTTCGCTTAGGAAAAACTGAAGTCAAAACTCATAAGAATGAAATGTAGAAATGCCTCGTTTTGGTTATGAGAGAGATTGAACGAAAAAAAGATCTCCTGAGGAGCTTTTGTACGTGAAGATTATTTTTATAATCTATGCTTTTATTTGCATTCATATCTTTTCTGGCAAATTTGCATGGACACCACAACATACGTTACTTTTAAACGTCTGACCTCTTTACAAGGATTAACTTTTTTCTAGAGAAAAAGAACATTCACGATTGAATTCTCTCTATCAAGGTGAGTAAAACGATTAAAAAAAAAGATCTATCTATCTATCTATCTATCTATCTATCTATCTATCTATCTATCTATCATCACTCCTTCATAGTCAGCCTATGAACTTTTCAACCCACCCTTGTACCTATGTCCCAGTATTGTTTCAGGATATTTTCGGGGAATTAAGCTCATTACACAGTGAATCGCTAAGTAGACTGATAGAAAAAAATCTGTGCACGTAGCGTCGCAGTTATCAGCGAGAAAGGTTAACGGCTGTGTCATGTTGAAATACCGGTTCCCGAAGTTAAGCAACATTGAGCCTGGTCAGTACTTAGATGGACGACCGCTTGGGAATATCAGGTGCTGTAAGCTGGATGTGCGGGTGGTGTAATAGATAATGGCTCAGTATTGGAAATCAGTGAGCCAAGTTTCAATTTCAGTTGGGTTCGTTATATTCATTTACGTGCAAATACCCTTGGGAAAAGTATGAATCCACCTCTTATCTCCCCTGCTACGGGTTAATTCGTACGACTTGTATCAGTAAATCATTAGCATTTTCATAGAATTCTTTCATCCTAGACGTATCTTTTCTGTCTTGAAATAAGTAGCAACAGGTTAAGACATAAAAGCGCAAATCAATCACTCACTCGGCGAGAAAAGCCAAATTCACATTCAGGTTGAGGCCGCTGAGTTGGTAAAATACCTATCTCTTCTTCCCAACTATGAGTTAAATAGCAGAGCAGACGGGGCTATCTAGCCTTGGTTGGCAGGCAGCATAGAAGAAGAACAGCTATAAATTTTAAATCTCTAGGGTTAGCAGCCCTACTCCGGGAAACAATCTATCTATCTATCTATCTATCTATCTATCTATCTATCTATCTATCTATCTATCTATCTATCTATCTATCACACACACGTACTCAAGAATATGGTTATCTGAATCCTACATAGAAAAACCAGAATTATTATACGCTTAAATAGATGAAGCAATATTTGCGGTTTTTCAGTTAGACTTGGAATCCGTTGGTTTCTTGCAACTTTGAAAGGATGTGTCGTCTCTCCTTGAATTTGGAGTGCCACGAATTATATTAACGTTTGTTTAATAAGTCACGTGAAACATGATTAACTAATGAAAATCAAACAACACAAAAGTAAAAATACCAGACTATCTTCTTTTTCTCCATATCTTAATCTCCGATGAAGCTTTAATAAAATCAAACATGTTAGATTGATAAACGTTTCCTCTTTATCTTATCATTCTGCCGAATTCCAACTCATATTAGCTCTATATTTGATCTCAATCTATCTATCTATCTATCTATCTATCTATCTATCTATCTGCTGCATTCGGTTTGTTTGTTTGTTTCTTTCTCTACATATCCTAATATGTTCTCATCTATCTATCTATCTATCTATCTATCTATCTATCTATCTATCTATCTATCTATCTATCTTCTTTCTTTCTTTCTTTCTTTGTGCTTTAATATATTCTTAATTTGATAAAAGAATAGAACTGGATGACATATATAAAATTATTACATGGCAAGTTGATTTTTGATTGATTCGTTTTCTGAGGCTTATCGACCTTTACAGGTTACTTAAAGTAAGAAAATATATTTAGATTGTAATCATTTTTGTTATAATAATGGTTCTAGTGATACAATCTTACTAATTTACCCATAGCTGTGGGGAGAGAGAAGGTAGATTTATAGCTTTCCCAAGTGTATTTGCGCGAAAAAAACGAACACAACAGGAAGTGAAACTCGGCTCTCCGATTAGCAATTCCATGCCATTATCGCTTACGCCACCCGCACATTCAAGCTTACAGCATCTGATATTCCCAAACAGTCACCCATCCCGGTACTGATCACTTTGCTTAACTTCAGTGATTCGCACGGGAACCGATGTTTCAACGTGATGTGGTCGTAAGCCTACTAGTTGTACATATGTTCACTCGTCGGTGCCTTGTTGAGTAATGGTGAGTAAGATTGTTTCACGAATTATTATGCTGAAGATTAGCCTCGATAAAAAGATTATTCTCGATAAAAGATTATCTTCGATAAAATCAAAAGAACACAGCCAGTTTTATATTCATAATACAACATTAGCCTATACCCTTCTGACGTTAGTTTAGATTAACATTTCTTTCACTATATTTAAATTATAATTATAAACTATAAATTCATCTGGAATAAAATAAAATACGAACTTTAAGCAAAAAAGTCATACTGTAAGGGAAAAAAGCACGTCAGTTTAAACTGACACCAGGAAGATACGAATTAAGAATATTAGACGAATAGGGACGAAAACTAATCAGATCACAATAGAGTTCGATCTTCACTAGGTGTTCCATACTTGTAGATTTGTTCAAATCTTTAGTAAATAACACATGTAAACTCTTTTGCGTAATCTGTAGTGGGACTCGAATTCCCAGACTATTTCTCCAAACGAACGTAGGTTAGAAATAAATATTTTTTGTCGATTATCATAAAAGAAAACGGGTTCGATCTACTTGTATTGGTCATAGGTTCATATATTAGGGCACCTCGTCGTGAAGTATCCCGCAGATTATTAACAGAGAATCAGGTCCCCAATGAGTACTCCACACTTGTGACGTCTACATCCAGATTAAGCTAATCTTTGTTAAGAACTGTAGGTTCGAACCTTGTTACCGCTTAATTTCTTGGAGTTTCTTTTGATGTTCATTTACGGATTAAATTTAATTAATTTTAATTTAAATTTGATTTTAAGTGGTTAATTTTATTCTGGAGAATGCGTACAGGTGTCGTACAGGAATAAAGTAGAGGGTGGGTGCCATTTCTGGGTGGTATTTGCAGATATGCCCCCACCCCATTCTTTTAAATAGAAATGGAAGGTGTTTAACCCACTAATACCCACTACAAAATCTGGTATCGTTTCTAGAAAGAAAAATAAGAACCCGGTATAAACGAACAGTTTTTTTTAACGGGAAAGGTTAATGAATTAAAAACAGTTGAAGCTAAAGCAACAAAGAAAACAATGATGTGAAAGTCCGTAGCGCTATATTTTGCAAAATGTTAAAGAAATCTTAGAAGTGTCCCTGAAATTTACTCAGTCTTCTATTTGCGTGAAACAATCGCTTAAGTGTCGTACATCGTTTAATCGTCTTATAAATAATTCAGAATCTAGGAAAATAGCTTCCTCGTAAACTTACGTAAGTAGATATTGGCCGCATTTAAAGTTCTCTAACATTTCATGCTAGACATAGGAAAACGGATTTGTCTCTGGCCATGAAAAAAAAATGAATTTATTATGAGAATAATAATAATAAAAAAAAAAAGAACACTATTACTAGATCCTAGATAGTCGTCAGGTGGAATTTATTGAGAAAAAAGACCTGGTCTCTTTTACAGGGAATTCTATATGAACAATAAAGATAAACTATTACTGCATCGATGCTGTAGAGAGTAGTTGGCGTGTTTGAATGACACATTTGAAGCGAAAAGACTTTTATGTGCAAAGAAGTCGACCATTGAATTTGCTTGAAGACAGGACCCATCTCTGTGTTGCTGGTATGATGAAACAAACGACATGTAGCTGGTATGGGAAGTTTTTCTACATGCTGTATATTTTCCAGGCCTCTGAAACTTCCAGATTATCACTGATTTCGCTACACGCATTGATTCTTGTCTGGTCAGAGGTTCCAACGAGCTACATCTACTGAAGAAGAATTTCTAAAACCGGAATCGTTCTTTTATGATAGAACTAGCAGCATGGCCCGGCGTTGCCCGTGCTTAATTCAAAAATCGTACAACTCATACAGCAATCGCTATCACTTGACTTAAAATATTTTTGCCCTTCCATGCCTTTAAAGGTGTGCCCTTTGTCGTGCTGATGTTGCTACACGCCTTACTTCTTGCCTATCTCACACTGCGAATTTTTTCTAAGCTCTATGCTAAACATTAAATCTATTACGAAAAAAGAACTAAACAAAATGAACACAAAACGATCAGCTTTAAAAAAAGGACTCGTAACTGGAAAAACCGAATGAAAAAATAATGTTAACAACAAATACTTTTCACACCCAACCCAGTTGTGCGGAATCAGAATCAACGTTGAGTTTAAGCAAGCGAATGAGCCAATTGGAATAAAGTGCCATGCAGATTTAAATTTTTCCCACTAGTGACGAATGCAGCTATCGATTTTTTTTGCATGCTAGCATGCGAGTTTACATTCGTGTCAGTCAGCTGTTGGCTCTCACGCTGGCCAATAGAATCTTCCTGCCTATTCGTGGCAGCCAGCTATAGGCTCTCACTCTGGCCAGTAGAAAATGGCCGCAAACTACATGAAAACTGCCGTAGAAGCATGAAAAAAATCGATTATTTCCACTACCTATGGAGTTGGGAAATGCAAAAGTCGGTCTTGGCCTTCCCTTAACTTGGAGCATGTGCATGTAAATTTTGGTGCAAATCCGTCGAAAATTGCGGCCGTGCATTTATTACACACACACACACACACACACACACACACACACACACACACACACACACATCCTGCCTTTTATAGATAGAGATAAACAATTTACCCGAAAGACGACGAAAAACTTTTCAAATATTGATGCTATCAATTTATATGACGATGTGATATTAAAAATGATGGAAACTATTACACCGGCTTAAGATTATGAGCATTTAGTAAGCTTCAGTTAACTGGACACAAGGCCACAATTATTAGGTATCCAGTATAGATCGAGATTATTACTTAGTAGTAATGGCGAATTAGACTAATTTTCTATTACCCGACCACGAAGGAGTTGAACATTTCAGCAGAACGAGATGGAATCGTAATAGAGATGCTGCCAAACTTAGATAATTTCGGCATTGACAAGTTTACAGATATAATAAATGAAATATACAACAGTGGTAATATACCAGGAGACCTAAGTAAATCCATTTCTATAGCACTACCTAAAGTGCAAACGAGTGTGAACTCCGTCGGACAATCAGCCCAATGAGCCACATAACAAAACATATAATCCGAATTCTGATGAAGAGAGCGCACTGCAGAATCGAACCTGAAATAGTACAAGAACAGTGGGGTTTTGTTAAAGACACTGGAACAAGGAATGCGATATTTATGCCCAGAATAATATCAGAAAATGTAATACAGATGCAGATGTACCCATGTTTTATAGATTACGAAAAATCGTTTGATACGTCACAGAAAATTGTTGGAACTTCTCGGTAATCTTGACATATTTGATTAAAGGATAATAGAATTATCCAGAACCTATATTATCAGCAAACATTCTACATACATACAGAAAATATGTTCAGTAAATATACAAAAAAAAAAAAAAAAAAAAAAAACAAAAAAAAAAAAAAACAAAAAAAAAAAAAAAAACAAAAAGAAATGGGCGTAAGACAATGATGTGTCTTCTCAGTTGACCTATTCAACTTATACAAAGGGGATTCTGAGATAATTAAAATTCTTACCAGGATTCATTATTGGTGGCCAGAGTTTTTATGCAGATGATACTAGAAGAACTCCTAAAGAATGTACTTAGAAGAAACGAGAAAAAAAGGACTGAACATCAATTGCAAAAAACAGAATGCATGATTATTACAACTGCCTAACATGCAGATTACAAACAAGTACAACAGTTTAAATATTTGGGGAGTGTTTTAATAGATTTCCAAAAGATAAACAAAGTGTTTTTAAAGTTTTCACTCCAAACAAGGCGGGAGTGCCACTTGTACGCAAGGGCTACAGAGAGTTTAAGCGAGATAAAAGACTGGAAAGACTAGGTATGGGGAAGGGGTGAGGAAAGGATAAGAAGAAGAACGGGTATCAAGGAAACAGAAGATGTCGATTGACATTACATTTAAATTTTTGAAGCTTATAGTTATCAGGGAAGCAGTAAGTGAAAGGGAGTTCCACTGTCGGAAAGTGTGAGAGAAGAAGCCGTTGGAAGCGGTTACATTTAACTGTTTCGACAGTAAAAGGGTGTTGCCGAGGTGCCAACCAAGTAGCACGCTTAAATTCATGCAGTCGGCACACCATTGAAAATAGCACGTCAGAGCAGATACCATGAAAATATTTGTAGAAAAGACGAAGGGAAGCCACATTACGTCGTTGAGAAAGTGACTGGAGACGAGTCTCCAAGTCAGGACTGATCCCATTGCATATTCGTCTTTGGATTTTGTCGCGAACCTCGAGATGAACAGCGGAGGCACCAGACCATATATGGCAACAGTATTCCATGCATGGACGAATGGTAGATTTGTAGATGTGAAGGATGGGATCAGACGAGAGAAACCTTCTGGTGGGACACAGAGAAACAACTTTCCTTGCTGTAGATGCAGCAATTGATTCAATGTAATTGTTCCACTCCAGTCAGTGGAGAACGTGAGACCAAGAAGGCACAGTGAAGCGTTATTGTGGAGTTGAGCATCACCCATGCTGATAGGAGGCAGGGGCATTTACTATGGTTCGCGGGACTGAAAACTGAAGCACATGGCTATGTTGGTATTGACTGAACTTAGCTTAGTCGTTTATAAGAGCACTAATGTGGGGTGCCCAATGAGGATCAAACTGATTACACTATAGTCAGTTTGCTAGTTTGGGGCACTCAGCTTGGGTCGAAATTTACAACACTGTAGAAATGTTAAAATATTCTAAAAGTGTTCTATTTTAAATTTATAAATTTAAAATCCGGAAACCCACTCTAAAAAGGAAACAAGGGTTAAGCCTTTATACCTGATCACAAGACCGTGGAAGACTGTGAGCCGGATGATAGGCGAAACTATCTACCCCTATTGAGGAAAAATAGTAATAAATAAGTTTAGGCAGAGACGTTAGAAGTATAGAGTTGAAGTAGGAGGCATAATCCTAAGAAGGAAACACGTGTTATGTGAACGCGATCACGTGTGTGTGTGTGTGTGTGTGTG